TTAATGGGATGGGCTCTGTGATGGTTATATTATACAGAGAGTGGGGTAATGTCCAGGAGGGCTGACATCAAGGTGAGAACAATTACCTGGAGAACCCAGTAGTTAAACAGAAAGCATGAATAACTGACTCATTTGCTTGAATTAAGGGAAATGAATAGTGAGAGATCACCAAGGCTGAGAAAAAGACTGTACATGGGTTAACACTTTTCTTATCATTCCCATTGTGATAAAAACAAGATAGCCAGAGGGGCATTACACAATGCTTACAATTGGATATGAGAGTTAGATGAAACCTGGCTAAGCCAAAATCTCAAACCATGTGAGACACGAGATCGCCAATACCTACATGAGATATAATTCTAAACACTAAATCCATTCCAGTAGTTGAAAGAAGACATGAGAAAGGGAGAGGAGGCTAAAATAATAGCTCTTTATATAGTACAGTGGCTGGAAGAATAGGTTCAATCCTGGCTTTACTATCTGCTGGATAGGTAACATTTAATAGTTGCCTGGGGCTTCCCTGGTGGCTCAGAGAGTAGAGAATCTGTCTGCAATGTGACAGACACTGGTTTGATCCCTGGGTTGGCAAGATTCCCTGGAGTAGTTGCTTAGCCTCTCTAAATTTTAGTCTTAAATTAACCACAAATGGGACAATATGTGCATCTCGCAGAACTGAAGTTCTGAAAATTAATGAGACCATGCAAGTAAAACATTTAGAATAGAATCTAGTACTATTATTATTGCTATTGAGGAATTATTATTGCTATTGAGAAAGTATTATTAATAACATTGTAATGTAGTGGGGGGGGGGAGGCAAAATACGCATGTAAATATCCTATCTAGGTGGCAGACTATTAGAAAAAAACAGTGCTTCCTTATAAATGGGAAGTTGTCTGGAAGAGATTATGTGAGAAATGATCTAGCCAAATCAGTCCCTCCTTCCTGCTATCTTTTCACTAACTTCTCTCTGCTACATGTGATGGCAACAGATAAAATGTTATGATTCCGCCTTGATCAGTAGGTATTCACATGATTAGACGGTCTGCAGAGAAGATCACAAACTGGGAAATCAGGTTATGGTCATTTTTGTACAATGTGACCTACAGGAGGTTACCATGCTCTCCTAGAAAGCAATGGCATTCCTTGTAAAATTCTGACTGAGATCATGATACTCCTCACCTCACAGAAGAGGCTATAAAAGGGAGAGACCCATTTTATATAAATTTATTTGTGTGTGTGTGTGAAGTTTTGGAACAGTCTGGTGTCTGGATGGGCAGTGGTTATACTTGCAGTGATTTTCAATGCAGTGTCAGCAAAGAATTGCTTCTGTACAAAGGAGTCTCTATCTGGGGTTTTTAGTGTGGGCTGCTGCTGGCTGTGGCTCTGAAAAATTGGCTCTGTGCGCCTACCTTCCCCACCAAAGCTGTCCTTAGTCACAAGCCAGTATGGTTGGGAGATAGGATATGGAGCAGCTGCAAGATATTTTACTGCTCTTCTTATACCAATAGTAGCAGGAGCTGCTGGCCATGGTTCTGAAAAGCCTTCTCTGGTCCAAACAGTTGCTGTCTATGGTCACAACCCGCTGTGGCTCAGACTTGTTCTCAGTGTTCAAAGATTTGCTCTAGCCAAAGTTGCCCTCCTCCCTTCCCTTGAGAGTTCTAGCTAGTTCTTCCTTGATCCTCTTGCTAACAGACTAGCCTGGGGGTCATGCTGATTCAGAGGAATCAAAGAAGTCAGTTCTATTTCAGGATTAATTTGGATGTTATCTGAACAAGATGAGTCTATCTTTTCTGGGTCCTCAGGATTGCTATGGGACTTCTCTGGTTGCTCAGCAGTAAAGAATCTGCCTGTCAATTCAGGAGACTCAGGTTCAATCTCTGGGTCGGGAAGATCCCCTGGAGGAGGCATGGCAATCCACTCCAGTATTCTTGCCTGGAGAATTCCATGGACAGAAGAGCCTGGCGGGCTACAGTTCATGGGGTTGCAAAAGAGTTGGACATGACTTAGCAACTGAACAACAACAAAGAACAGGATTGCTACAGGTCTCAATTAGCAGCAAAAACAACAGCTCAAATCAATATAAAAGCAGACTCTAGGGGGCCTTCTACACGAAGAATGACCCAGGTTCCAGAAGGGTTCTCTATGGACTTGAATAAGCAGTCAGTGAACCTCTGGACCCAGACCAAGAACCACGGTTTCTAGTCTAAATTTCATTAAAGGCAAAGTTGCAAGATTACTGTCTTCAGTGACTGATCTTCAATATCTACCTCTGTTCACTCAACTTTCTTTCTTCATCCTGTGTAAGACAGCACTTTTTCTTTTTACTCCTGACTGTACATCTAGATGGGATTGGTTCAAACACTGTTTTTCTCTGGTGTGTATATATGTATATGTATATATGGAAAAGCTGAGTCAAAAAATGTGGGAAAATAGAACTGGGTAATTCCATTCTCTATTTAGATGCTGGCTCCACATTTCAGCTTCCTGCTTATAAACAGGTGGTTGACAACGGATGTCATGAGACGGCCATGTGATGCATGCAGCAGGAAGCACAGAACTGGGCAGGAATCCTACCCACAGGCCTCCGCAGTCTAAATATCAAGCTCTGCACTCTTCAGGGAATGGAGATCTATAAATAGCCGAGCAGTGACATCACCTTCTTCCAGCCTGTTGTTTGGCTATCAATTATACTTTTTAAAGAGCTTACCAAAAAATTAATAGATGGTAGGAAATTCTACAACATTGTTTGGCCATAAACATACAAACAGACACACATCCTGCAGGCCAACAGATTTTGGTGGCTACTTACTAGAATAAAAGGGCTTCCCCGTAGCTCAGTTGGTAAAGAATCTGCCTGCAATGCAGGAGACCCCAGCTGGATTCCTGGGTCGGGAAGATCCCCTGGAGAAGGGACAGGCTACCCACTCCAGTATTCTGGCCTGGAGAATTTCATGGATTGTGTGTAGAGTTCATGGGGTCACAAAGGGTCAGACATGGCCCAGCAACTTTCACTTTGTATGCTTATTAGAATCAAGGGTTCATCTAGCCTACCCCTCTGAATGTATGCTGGAGACCTTGAGTCTAACTAACCTCTAATGCTCTCTTCTTGTCTAAAGGGGCAGAGTGCTTCTCTCAATAATTCCTTGGCACTGTCTCTAAAAAAGGTCTCTATTTCTTTGAACAGTGAGAAACTTGAAACTTGGGTTCAACTTTGAGTGAGTAGCAGCCTGTGATCCTTTAAAATACATCTGAGATTTACCCAGTGGTCCAGGGACTAAGACTCCACGCTCCCAAGGCCAGGGCCCCATGTTTGATCCCTGGTCATGGAACTAGATCCCACAAGCCACAACTAACAAAAAGATTCAGTGTGCTGCAATCAAGACCCTGTGTGTTGCAACAAAGACCCAGCACAGCCAACTAAATAAACAAATAATGTATTTTAAAAATAACAAATAAATACAGTAATATTAAAAAGTAAAACAAATCTGATGTGTTAACCTGGGAACTCTTACCCTTCTTGTTCCCATCATAAAGTGAGGCCCAGACTGGACACAAGAAGGAAGGACGTGGGAAGGGGAGCCTCCACTTCCACTTGACCTTGAACTGATTTCCAGACCTCCTCCATCTTGCTAACAAAGCAGCAACTGTGTATCAAAGAAGTCAAGTCTACATCTGGAGAGCAAGCCTCGAAAGCACAGGTGATGCTGTCTCATGGGAGATGGGGAAGGGAGTGGTCCTTGGAGTATATCCTTCACAGCCTGGGCAGAGCATCACCAAATAGACACCAGTGACCTCAAGCCCGCTCCACTAAATGCCTGCATGGTGCCACCCTATGCTGACCTGAAGCCGAAAACCCCCTTGGAAAGTCAGAGAATGTCACCTTTCCCCAGTGACCTTGGATTCTTACATTTCTTTAAAAAAAAAAAAAAATGGTGTCTCTGTTAACAAATAAGGAGCAAGAGAAGAGGGTAGGCGGGAAATCGAGAAAAGATTCTGTTTAAAAATGTATATGTGCGTGTATCTACATTTATATAAATAGCAACCGAAATGGAACGTGGAGGGGCCCGTGCTATTTTAAGGACGAGCTGCAGTCGTAATCTCCTGAGAGATGCTACTTTCTGGCCGCGCGCCCTCGCGTCCAGGCGAGGCTGTGGTGCTTTTTATTCTAGTCACATTGAATGCCTCTTACGAATCCATCCATCTTAATCAGCACCTACCACTCGCGGCATCTCTGCAGTCAGGAAGCAGAGAAACAGACGGCAGGAGGGGCGGACGGGGTGTCAGGGCAGTGGCGAGAGGTGACGTCATGAAAGGAAGGAAGGAGAGGAAGGGGGTAGGGGGAAAGAGCTGTTGGGCTGGGGAGGGGGGTGCAGGCCCAGCCACGGAGACCCCTCTGACTGCACCTCTCGCTGTGAATGGACCCTCCTTGGCGGGTGTGACTCAGCGAGGTAGGGGCTGAACGGTGAGGCGAGGGGGCAGACCCTGCGTCTTCAGGGGGACACATCGCAAAGCTCTGGCTCAAATAGCAGGTGTCCCTGCAATCGAAGCTCCTGATCCAGGGGGGTTGGAAGGGGGTGCAGAGGAGGAGGGAGGACCAAGGGCTGGCCCCTGTATCTTCCATCTGCTTTGTCTCCTTCCCAGCCTCAGCCTCATCCCGTCCCTGGCCTGCTGTCATGGAGCAGTCCTACCCCCAGCCCACTTGACTCCTGACACATTCGAACCCCTCGCTCCTCCTCTGTTCCCTCAGGAGGTACCCATTGGAGTTTCCATCACCCAAAAGCCACGTTCTTCCAAAGAGGGTTGAGGGCTCCCCAGTCCACTCAGCCATAGCCACAGAAGCAGCCTCACCCGCACCTCACTCCACACCTGCAACCTCAGCCCACCCGCAGGCTGTCAGGGTGGGGTCTCGGGTGAATTCTGAGCTCGGCAAACCCCTGTGCTCACCCGGTCTGGGTCAGCCCTTATGATGTGGCTGTAATTCCACTTCGTATTTCACTTACTGATGCAATCAGAAACACTGGAGATTGCGTCCTCATTGGCTGGGCACCCGAAAGGCCTGCCAGGCCCTGGCTCTGAACTCATCCCCCAGCAGGGAGCTGAGGTCCCTCTAGAAGCATCCCCTAGCTGAGGTCCCTCTAGTTGCATACCTCTGTGATGCAATGTGGCCACCCACCGACATCAGGATGCCAGAGGCTCCAGGGAGATCGGCACCATCTGACTCAAGCCTGGGCTCGTCACACACCTCCAGACACTGTCCTTTGGAGTGGCTGCACTGGCCTCACGGGGCCAGCTCCTCAGGCCTGGAACCAGAGTGGGTGGCCACATTGCCTCATGGGTGCTTCTAGAGGGACCTGGCTCCCAGATAGGGTTTGAGGTCAGAGCCAGGGCAGGGCAGGCCTTTCAGGTGCCCAGCCAAGGAGCACGCAGTCTCCGGTGTTTCTGGCTGTAGCAGGTAAGTGAAATACCAGGTGGGATTTTGGCCATATGATACAGGCTGACCCAGATTGGGCGAGCATAGGAGGATCACTCCAGTCTCCTGGAATCTGGTGCTTCCAGGCAGGGCTGGGAAGTCTGGAGAGGTTACACCTGTGTGTGTAACCACATTCACACACCATTTATCATATTACCCGCAAATCTCACATTGGTTTGGCTCCAAGTATTGGGATCTTTTTGACAACATCTCATTTCTTTGCTGAACATGGTCAGGTGAGGGCTGAGTGAATGTGATGGATCAATGAAAAATTTGCAATTCACATTGGCCACACTTGTCCTCCAGCAAGTCACCCTCCTGGGCCTCAGTTTCCTTACTTACATGATCACTCAGGGTGAACTGTATCTACTCAAAAACCCCTTCAGGACTAAGTTTTGGGAGCCTATGCTACAGATCCACAGAAATCTAAATGTAGAGAGAAATTTAAAAGGAAGCAATGGCTCAGAAATTACATGTTTTCTTTGGTCATCATTATCTGTTAGCAACTTCTCAGATCAATGATATTTTTCACAGATACTGACTAAAATATACCTTTGTAACTCACCATGATTCTCTCTATCCTATTAAGAGGCTCTCCTGAGGGTGAGTGGATCCATGGGCACGCTGAGTTTTATTACATCTGGGAGCCCAAAGCTCCAGACGTCACGGTCCTACTTTGTCAGTGGTTTCTGTCTTCTTCCGTCCCCTCCTGACAGTATTTTCTGATGGCCTCCAGCTAATTAGAGCAAAGGCTTTGAACAGCTTTTCTATAGACTCTACTTTTCTCTCAAACCTTCTTCATATACGGCCGAAGTTAAGTGTGAAGGAGCACAGCGTGTCTCTATTCTGTTGAGAGCAAGAAATAAAATGTTTCCCAATGACAGATTTCCTTTGCAAGTTTCCTCCTTGAAAAAGAATGAAACATAATGCCCACCCGTTCCTGTTTTCTCAGCCTTTTGTCTCCTGGTGGTGTCAACAGAAATGTGCATATGTGTTTGTGTAAAGACAGTTTCTGTCCATGAGAAAAGGACTGGCCTTAGGGGAGGGGGAGCGAAATAAGCAAAGCCTTCCCCCACCAACTAGACAGATGTGTACATACACACACACACACACACACACACACACGCAAAGGCGTTGCTCCAGTTTTTCTCTCAAACTAACTCATCTGTACTGACTTTCATATTTTCTTTTTAAGATTCTTTCAGTGTGGATCATTTTTAAAGTCTTTATTGAATTTGTCACAACACAGCTTCTGTTTCATGGTTTGGTTTTTTGGCCCCAAGGTACGTGGGATCCTAGCTCTCTGACCAGGGATGGAAACCATAGCCCCTGCACTAGAAGGCAGTCGCAACCACTGGGCTGCCAGGGAAGCGCCTCGCATTTTCTATATTCACTTTATTAAAAACGACTCCACGCAACAGAAACTTAGGGGCACCCAGTATACGCCAGGCACCTGCTTAGTCCCGGGGCCACAGCAAAGACAGCCACATCACCTGTAAGCACCTCAGCCGTCTGTGTGTCAGACACTGCTCTCAGAGTCTCACCCGCTTCAGCTCCCTCCATCCTCATAACTACCCCATGAAGCAAGTACACGCAGGTCAAGACGATGGAGCACAGATTAACCCGAAGCCAGAGAGCTAGGAGACAGAAGAGCCAGGGTGTGCACCCACAGTCTATGCCCTCAGCCGCCTCCCAATCCTGCCGACCTTGCTTTCTCCTTCCAGCCGGTGAAGTGCCATGTGAAAAAAATAATCAGGGCTTTCCCGGTGGCACAGTGGTAAAGAATCTGCCTGCCAAAGCAGGACACACAAGTTCAATCCCTGATCCAGGAAGATCTCACACGCGGGGGAACAACTAAACCTGCGGAGCACAACTGCCGCGGCCTTGCGCCAGAGCTGCACCTGCTGAGCCCGCGGCCGCGGTGACCGACGCGCTGGAGCTGCACCTGCTGAGCCCGCGGCCGCAGTCACCGACGCGCTCGAGCTGCAACCGCTGAGCCCGCGGCCGTGGTCATCGACGCGCTAGAGCTGCACCTGCTGAGCCTGCGGCCGCAGTCACCGACGCGCTGGAGCTGCACCTGCTGAGCCCGCGGCCGCAGTCACCGACGCGCTAGAGCTGCACCTGCTGAGCCCGCGGCCGCAGTCACCGACGCGCTAACCGACGCGCTAGAGCTGCACCTGCTGAGCCCGCGGCCGCGGTGACCGACGCGCTAGAGCTGCACCTGCTGAGCCCGCGGCTGCGGTCATCGACGCGCTAGAGCTGCAACCGCTGAGCCCGCGGCTGCGGTCACTGAGACCCGAGCCCCAGCACCCATGCTCTGCAACAAGAGAAGCCGCCACAACGAGAGGCCTGCCCACCACGAGAGCAGCCCCGCTCTCCACAGCTAGAGAAAAGCCCTGCAGCTTTGAAGACCTACCACAGTCAAAAATAAACAAAATTACTAAAAACAATAAGGCTCCAAGAACAGAATTTCTTCTTATATTAGAGGAGACCATTCCAGGCGGAGGGGATAGTACATGCAATGGCCTGAGGACACGAACATCTGTAACAGGGCATGGAAAACCACGAGTGTGTGGCTGGCTAAAGAATAGTGGGTGGTGTGATGTTAACGGTATGTGTCAACTGACTGGGCCACGGGGTGCCGATATTTGCTCAAATGTTATGCTGGGTGTGCCTGTGAGGGTTTCTGGATGGGATTAGCATCTCAATCAATACACAGGAGTAAAGCAGATTGCCCCCCGCTAATGTGGGTGGGCTCCATCCAATTAGGTGAAGCTCTGAATAGAGCAAAAAGGCTGACCTTCTCTGAATGAGAGAAAATTCTTCCTGCCTGACAGCCTTTGAACTGGGATGATGACTTTTTCCTGCCTTCAGACTCTCAGTGAAGCACCAGCTCTTCTTGGGTTTTGGGCCTGCTGGCCTTCAGACTCAGACTGGAATTACACAGCAGCTCTCCTGGGTCTCCAGCCTGCCAGCTACAGACCGTGGGGGCTCATCAGCCCCCATGACTGTGTCAGTCAGTTCCTCAAAATAAGTATCTCCTTGCCTCTGTCTCTATTTCTACTGGTTCTATTTCTCTGGAGAACTCTGGTCAAGATGGGTGGGAAGTGCTGTGTGCTTAGTCACTCGATCACGTCCAACTCTTTGCAACCCCGTGGGCTGCAGCCCGCCAGGCTCCTCTGTCCATGGGGATTCTCCAGGCAAGAATACTGGAGTGGGCTGCTGTGCCCTCTTCCAGGGGATCTTCATAACCCAGGCACCAAATTCAGGTCTCCCACATTGCAGGCAGATTCTCTGCCAACTGAGGCACCAGAAAAGCCTGGGAAGTGCTGGGGGAAATGAGAACAAAAGGCAAGCTGTGTCCAGATAAGGAGATGTGGCTGAGATCACGGAGGACCAGGAAATAGACAGAGCTGTCTCTTGTCCCTCCCAGAGAATTCCTATTAAAATGAGTGGCCAAGTCTTACAGACTCTTAGAGCAGAATGGTAGGCAGGACCAGGGTGAGTAGGGGATGACGGGGGCTCACGATGACCATAAACTAGTGTGCTAAGAGGCATCTGGATCCCAATCACGGGATCCAGATCTGGGGACGAAGGGGAATTTTTGTTGTTGTTCAGTTGCTAGGTCATGTCTGACTCTTTGAGACCCCATGGACTGCAGCACGCCAGGCTTCCCTGTCCTTCACTATCTCTCACAGTTTGCTCACATTCATGTCAACTAAGTCGGTGATGCCATCCAACCATCTCATCCTCTATCACCCCCTTCTCCTCCTTCCCCCAGTCTTTCTCAGCATCAGGGTCTTTTCCAATGAGTCAGTTCTTTGCATCAGGTGGTCAAAGGATTGGAGCCTCAGCATCAGTCCTTCCAAAGAATATTCAGGACTGACTTCCTTTAGGATTGAATGGTTTGATTTTCTTGCAGTCCAAAGGGATTCTCAAGAGTCTTCTCCAGCACCACAGGTGAAAAGCATCAAACCTTCAGCATTAGAGAGGTCCCAATTCCCCTCACCCCGCCCTGCCCTGCCATTTATGGAAGAGGAGGCTGAGGCCAGGGAGGGGAGCGTAGGTCTGCGGTGACATCTCTGTGTGTGACAGAGTGGGGGTCACAACTTCTCCCCAAAACCCAGTCTGGAGCTCCCTCCCCAAATCACCCGTCCTCCGTGACCCAGCTGGCTCCACCTCAGACACGTCTAGGAAATCTGCCCCACAATGCAAGGAGAAAGAGGAAGTGTGGCCACACACACACACACATATCCCTTGGTTGTCATTTTGAGCCTAATTGTTTTAACACCAGCTGTCAGGTCTGCAAAATTCTTCTCTGGTACCAGTGACCTGTAAGATCTAGAATAACAAGGATGTGTTTAAAAATAGTCCGGATTCCTAGAATTCAGTTCTCCTTCTCACCTACCCTTCTCCATCTTGCTGACAGGCCTGGTAAGAACTCCACTTCAAATTCATGAGTACAAAGCCAAATGCTGTGATTCAGATTTATTAAGAGCGGTAAAGAAAAGTGGTGGACAAGACACAGGGACTCGAGCTAGTTTTCAGCAAAGCAGGCTGGAAACTTTGGCAGACACTCAACCCCGCACCCCAGCAGATTCACCTCTCCCAGTTCTCCAAGCTGGGGCACTCATTTATCCCACT